ATAATGGTTACCCATTACCTGAACCACTGGAAATTGAAAATCAGAGGGCTAAAGCACCAGATTATACTGGAAATCATAGGGTTCTTATCTGTTCAGAAGAACAATTTAAAGTAAGCCTTATGTTATTTCTAATTTTATTGTTTAAGTTGATTAATTTTAATTNAAAAATTGTTTTTTTTTTATTACTCTAATAAAATTTAAAGTAAATAAATGATTTACTTAATTAAATAATAAAATATTTGGATTAGAATAAATATATCATAAATAACCAGTAGTATAGATTTATTACATTAGGATCATGTACAGTTTTTGAATTAATTCTTATTACTCTTAAGTTTATCAAACATTTATAGAATGTTTGAATAAATGTTTTAAAACATTTTAGTTACTATAGTTTTCCATTAGTATAGTTTCAATTTACTCTTAAAGGCAGACAATTGCAATTTTTATGGATTACGTTTTCCTTTTGTATTTTTCCATGATTTACAAAATACACATTTTTGTTTTTTAAATGTGTCTTAACTCAGAATGCCTCTTACACTCAATGTTGAAAGAAAATTTAGAAGTTTAACAAATGCAGAATAAAGTTAAAATAATTGGCATTATTTGCACATGAATGAATATCGTCATATCTGCTTATTTTGTTTTACACTTCAGTTGGAAATGTGGTGTGTTGAATTTCTGTCCAAACTTCAGTTGTATAATTGCCAATTAAAGTGTATTCTAAAAGATTATGATGTAATATTGAAACAAATGTATTATATATTCAAATCAGCATGGAAATAGTGCTGCAGAGCATAAATAAATACACTGTATACATTTATTTAAACTTTTCAGTCAAAGTGAAAGTTACGGATAATTTTACAGACAAATTCATATTATTGCAGATTAATAGAAAAGTTTTATGAAGTTTCAATTTGCAATTAATAAATTGATCATCTTAAAATTGAGGATATCTTAGAATCAGAGAAAGAGATTATTTTGTTTTAATTTTAAAATAGGTTGATTTTTGGATTTTGAACTGATCCAAATAGAGAATTATAAACCAACATTATAAAAAATAAAACAATTTTGATTTAATAAGAGCTGACAGGATACATTAATATATTGAACTATCTATTGGTAACTTAATTATTTGAATTATTTAATACATTTGCTACTATTGTTAGAGAAAATAATAATTTGCAGTAGTTGAAGTATTTTGAACTTTTTTATATAATATAATAAATATGTCATATATATATATATGTAGAATCTCTGTAATTTAATTGCTGAAAAGAAACTTAATAGAAAAAAATCTATAACATATGGAAAAAATAATAGAAAAAACTATAACAGATGGGGGAAAAACAGTTAACAATACATTGTTAACTCAAAATGTTTTAAATCACATCAGGGCATAGAGATATGTAATTTTCTTGGGGAGAAATTCACAAATTGTTGGATCATCCAAAAAAGATGTTACATGGCCACCAGGTCCCTAGATATCACCCCCTTTTTTTCTATAAAAGGACATAAAGGACAAAGTGTATGTAAAAAAGATAACTAACATGGGCAAATTACAGGACAGGGTTGCCCAGCCTATGAAGTATCCGAGATGTTATAAAACGTTTCGAGAGAAATTGAGTACAGACTTGATATTCTGAGAGCAAAAAAAAAAACCACATTTAGAAATTTGCTAATAAATTATCACAATCTCAAAGATTTATAGGAAAAAGTCAACTGTTTTTTTCTATTGAGTTTCTTAATAAAATGAATAAATTATGGACACCCTGTACTTGTTTGTTGTTGAAAACATGAAAAATTATATTTATCTTCTTTGGCATACAATGCATTGTTGAAAGTTTTTAAATTTATTCTAAAAAAACCAGAAAAAGAAATTTATAATTGTGATATTTTGAGCTTATCTATCAGTTCATCCTCTTAATAAACTATTTTTGAAATTTTTACTGCATTTTTCTCAATTCAGAAATATTCAATCTATTGAATTAGTTTCCTAAATTAAAAGTTTCTTATGTAATAATAAACCATGGAAAACTAAACTTTAAATTACAATGTTTAAAAATTATAATTAATTCATCAAATTGCTTAATTTTTATTAAATTAATGAATCCCTTTGAACATCAAATTACTGATATCTCTCTACTATATATGAAATTTTCCATATTTTACAAAATTATATCAAGGTATATTTTTACATAACTTGATACTTTGGTTTATATAACTATAATTTCTGAAAGTTTTTGGAAAACGTTAAACCATTTGTAAAAATATCTTTATTCCTATTAGATTTTTTATTATATTATAAGTTATCTTTATACTGTTTGTATATATAAAAAACTGTATTTATGTATATTTTTAATTACAGTTCTTTGTTCTATATCTATAGATGGCATTAAAATATGAAATGAAAAATAAATTAAATATTATAATGATAATGAAATATATGTCTTTGAATATGTATTTGATTTTAAATATGAATTTTGAATATGTATTAATAAATAATTGTCGAGTTTGTGTATTTGAAATATTTATTTCATTTAAATGAAATCAATAACAGAGTTGTTTTTTGTCAGATTACCTTCACTATGTTAGCTTTTGTAATTATTTATAACAAAGTTTAAGTATATGAAATGCTTTTGAAATGAATTTGATATTTTCTTTTTAAATTATTTTTGAAATAGGCATGATTAATTAGTATTTAAATTTCATACAATTGTAATATCACATTGTGTATTAATTGTATTGTTAAGCAGTTTGTTAAATTCAATTCTGTGTAACCCTAAGATGGCCTTTAATTAAACAAGGTTGAAAATGTTTGTGATTAAAAGTTTTTCTACTGGAATTTTGTGATTTAGTGTGCTGGTGTATCTGAAAGAAATTATGCTTTGAAGTGTTTGGGGAAAGAGTTTATCATGATATTTGGTGAAATTTTGAGTTCTGATTGTCCTGTTAAAATGTTTTTTGATTAATATAATTTAACTTCCTTAATGTGTTTTAATACATTTATCTATTTAGTTATTTATAGAGCTTTTCTTCAGAATTTTACATTGTCAACTGTGCATATAATTTCTAACTAATCACATAACTCCAGAAATAATTTTCTCCTTAAAATAATGTAAGATATAATAATTCTATATTTACATTTCTATTTAACATCTCTATCCGTTGTATAGATAGATGTTTGTTCTGATCTGTACAATTTTACATAAGGAATTTCTATATAAAAAATCCTGTACGTGAAAGTAGGAAAAATTAAGTCTTATAGATTATATATATATTATATTATATTATATTATACAAACAGAAGTAAACTTCAGTTTTCACATTATTCATGTTGTGTGACAAAATATAATTGTAACGAATTAATGAATTTGATGGGAAAATTATTGCTCAGTATTGCAACTCTTCAATAGTTTGTAAAAATAATAATAAACTAAAAAATATTTATCTACGGTCAAATGCATGATATTTCTTGATTTTTCAGTTTAACCTTTCTGTGGAAGTCTTAACATACTTGGTTGATTGCAGAGAGAGAGTTTATGTTAAACGACTTTTGACAGCCGAACGGCATTCAGGCATTGGCTGGCTGAACCACAGTTTAAAATGCATTGCAAAGACGACGATCGTCTGTTTCTGAATGTCGTCAAAATGAACCTTGGCAAAATGTTGGCTATTACTTTCTTCGCTGTTACTCCTTTCTCTATGTCACTTAATTGACACTCAATCGGCTTATTAAGATATAACAAAAATAATATTTAATAAAACAAAAAAAAAATTACAAAATTATGACTTACTTAAGCCTGTAACCGATGCAAAATCGTAAAATATTAACGCACAAACGTTTTCTGAGCACCTTCCGTGTTCTTCCTCAGGTTTTAAAACTGGATTTTTTATATTCTGGAACACCGCTATGAAATTTTCAAAAAACAAACGATGATATTTCGAACGCTCGGTGTCCATTGCGCACGCGTTGTACACGTTGTGTTCCCGTTGTTCAGAGTCCCATTCAAACTTCTAATGATTATGTAATTTCTCTCGTTATTCATACGATGTAGTAATCTAGCCTTCCACGTCATGTGTCCCTCCCCTCAGCATCATCCAGTGTTAAATCAATCTTTACGAATCATTATGCAAAACTGCCTGCCAAGCGTACAAAAGAGCCATCTCCTCCCGTGTATTAATGCACTCCGATGAAGTGTGTGCCTTAAATATCTCCACCGCCTCTAGCCATTTGAGGTGGTCCATCTGTGTCATTTTAACTATTAACGTTGCCCCTGTGAAGTCAACCGTAATATCCGGGTCAGAAGCATACACCGACAGTGACATGGTGGCTCTGTTGTGACGTATGTCTGCTTTGTGTTCACTCATTCTTACCCCCATCGAGCGTTTNTGAAACATTTTCTCAAAGTTGAAAGTAAAGCTATTGGTCTATATTTATTTGGAGATAATTTATCACCCTTTTTATGTATCATAGTAAGACAGAATTTCATGAGTCTTGATCAAGTTAAAATTAAGCTACTGATAAAATTATTTTGGAAATGTTAATAATAGTTAACTTTATTTTCAGACAAATAATCTAAATACAGAAATAAAAAAATTGATGTTTAAACTTTTGACTTTAATTAATAAAAAGGATTTATTTTGTGTAGTAAATATTTGATTGCTGATTTTAAACGATATTGAAGTTACAACTAAAACTTACTCGTATTTAGAGTTTTAACTGTTTTAATTTTTTACATACTCTTCAAAATGGAAAATGCAATAAATTTATTAAAATTCTGAGTATTTAAACTTTAACAGTTGAAAACTTGATAATATATGTAGAAGAGAGAATAACAATAACTTAAATTAACTGTCAAGTATATTATTGACTGATAAGATTGTTAAGAATATTTAGTATTAAATTAAAGTTGATATAATAATTTTCATAATAATTTGTTTGGTTACAATTATTTCTTATTAGAAACTAAGAAAAATCATTATTTAATATTTTATAGCCCTCAACAATCACCTGTGACAGATTTAGATGCCCCATCAGGTGATAGTCATTCTCCAACTCAAGCTGCAATTGCAACAGATTCAAGACCTGTAGAAAGACAAGTTGAAGCACGTTCGGCCGATGATGCTTTAAGTTCCATGGTTCGTTGCTTATATTTCGCAAAAAGCTTCATTATTAACAGTAAGTATACTACTTGATTATGTAAAATTTTCTTTATATATATATAGAAAATATTAATATCTAATTCTTGATAAGTAACACTTAAATGCAGTTCTACTTTATTAGAACATAATCAATCTAACAATTCCTTAGTACTTTCAAGCTTTCTCAGCTCATCTTTTGATAGCAGTCAACACATAATTCTTGAGAATAAGCTGAGATTTGAAAGCACTAGGGATTTCTTTAGAGTGCACTCCAATAAAGCAGGATATTAAATGTAAGTGTTGTGTGTAAATATTACTTGAAATTTATCGTTGAATAATTTTTAATTAATGGTCATTTTTGAAATTCTGATATAATTTAACACTATTAAAAAACAGTATTAAAAGAATATAGTAAATTAACATGTATTGTTATTTATTAATTTTTTTGTTCTGTATTCCTTGAAATGATCTTTCCTTTATAGTTTTTTCCCCCTTTATCAATTATATTCTTATTTATATTAATTCTCTATCTACAGTATAATCTTGTTTTAATGGATCATGTAACATTGGATTTTTTTGCCAGGTTCTGCCAAATCAATGTAATTTTACCTACTCCTAGTGGATCTGTAATTTGGAAAAACAGATTTTTTTTGTAGCTATATCTATTGTAAACTTTGTGTTTTTTCAATATTTAGTTAATATTTGGGTGTTTCCAAGAATTAGTAGCATTCGAAGATGCACTTGTTACATCTAGGATATGTACAGTACTGTACAATTGAAGAATTGTACAGAGTCAGCAGGCTGATACTATTGAGGAAGAGCCATCTAGTGAACATTCTGATGCTGGTCCAAGTGTAGTGCTGAAATTTAGGGAGGCCATCGAGTCGTGTAGACCTTCCTGATAAGTTTCAGTATAAATGAACAGGCTGTACACAACATCACTAATATCGAGTAGTGCTGTATTCAATGAGCAAAAAAATGGCATAAAAACAAATGAACATAGACAAGTTTAACAAAAGTCAAGTGAAGTGTTAATGAGCATATGCAACTTGCTTCAAGTACTGGTATTTCTTATATGTAGAAGGTTAAAAACAAGTTTTCTCAAATAATGGATATTTTCCTGGGTGTATAGAGAATCCGTTGTTTGTGATATAACAGCTTCTCAGAATAACGAATGATTTTCAGCAAACCGAGCAATCCATTAAAATGAGATTCTACTGTTTTAAGCTACTGTATAAAACTTACTTTTTATTAAGTTATTTAAAATTTTTATGACTCACGAATTGGAATGTCAAGTTTTATAAATTTCAAAACAAAAAATTATATTTTAATACTAATTTAGAACATTTATATACAATCAAACCCATATTACAGATTTAATTTTCTTCTCATAGATGTTGTAACCACACCAACTTTGTGGGCTGGAACTAATGCTGGTGCAATATATGTTTTTACTATGTCTCTACCAAATAATGAAAAAAGAAGTTCTGATGCTGTAACTTGTCAACTTGGTTAGTATATAGAAATATATTTTACTGTTGATTGCTGAAAAAATTATTTTACATTTTTAAATAAAAAAGTAAATTTTTGGAGTTTCTAATAAAAACATAATTTAATACATGAGCTGATTAATAAGAATGTGGGGATATGATTATTACATAGAATAATCTATTTTATGAAAAATTTTTAAAGTATGTATTAAAAATTACAGAACATTTTACTTTTAAGGCTTTTTTATTTTTGAAATTATAGTTTGCAAATTATATTAAAACAAAAATTTTAATTTTTACTGCAAAATTAAAAATTAATACTTTTCAGATATTAAATAAATACAGGGCAGTTCACAATGCCATTAAGAACTCTTTTACTAGTAAACTTTTGATTTATTATTATGATTTAATTTATTATTTATATAGGAAAAGAAATTCAGTTAAAGCATAGAGCCCCTGTTATAGCAATACAGATTGTAGATCATAATGGTTACCCATTACCTGAACCACTGGAAATTGAAAATCAGAGGGCTAAAGCACCAGATTATACTGGAAATCATAGGGTTCTTATCTGTTCAGAAGAACAATTTAAAGTAAGCCTTATGTTATTTCTAATTTTATTGTTTAAGTTGATTAATTTTAATTATAAATTTAAAACTTTAAATTGTTTCATTTTTAAACATTTTAATTTCACAAAATGAATTAATTTTATAAATAATTACATGTAAATGTTGTTCAACTAATGGGGGAAATCCATTTTCTACTTGATAACTTGATGCTGGTGATGACTATTTAAAACAGTCGAAAATGTTTGTTTTGCTTATAGAAGTATTTTTCCTTGCTTGATTTTAGTGTTAGTGTTTATTTATTACTTGATAACTGTTTCTAAAACAAAAATATACAATTTAGCAATACAAAAATTATTTTTTTAAAAAAGATTTTATATAAATTTTGAGGATGATCTATCTATTATGATGATTTTTATTCTTTTCTTTTCAATTCATATTTTATCATCTTATGGCATTTTCCCCATCTTTAAGATGGGGGAATGAGAATGTAGTTTATATTTATTTATTTTTTAAAAATAAATAAATATAAATTACAGTCCTCATTTATTAAAATAGATTTATCAATTATTACTGTAAATCTATGATAGAAAAAATATTTTTGTTCTCTGATGATCATAAAATGAGGCATGGAAAATATGTTAATTATATGTAGAACAACATTGATTTTAAGTTTCTTGGATGCAAACACATTATTATTATTTATACATATAAACTAAGCATGAAAACATACTATTATTTACTATCATTATTTCAATAGATTTTATAATTAATTCACCATTAGACAATCATTCTACAGATTGTTTTCATAAGTTTTTTAATTTTTTAAATTATTGAAATAAAAATATTTTTGGAAAAAAATTACAAAATGTTAAACAAGACATTATTTGAAACATTAATAATTAAAGCCATATTTGCCCTCAATTAATGGAATTTCTGAACTTCCAGTATTTTAAAATATTTTAGAAAAATTATATTAGTGCCAGATTTATCTGCACATAAATCATAATTATAAAAATCACAATAAAGTAACTTTAATATACAATGAGAAAAAATGATTAATAGAAAATTGTTGTGTATTTAACTTATATTATTAGCATTAAGTTTCATGATTGAGAGTTTATTACAATCTTTTAAAAATCTATAAAAATACAATGTAATTTATGTATTACAGCTGATCAGTCTGATTTCTGAATTCAACAAGTTTATGCATTACAGATTTATATTGTGCAAATCATTGTTTTATTTGTCATGATAGAGCCAATCAAAATTCATGAAATGATAATGATGATTGAAAAACATTAGATGCAAAAAATAAAATATTAAGATATTCATGAAAAGTAAATATAATAAATTGAAAAATTGTGACACTCGTTGCATAATATTGCTTGTTTATTTATTGTAAATATCACAAATAGATAGAAATATAAACAGTCCAGTGATAACATTTGTAGGTATTTACACTAAATTATAACACAGTTTAATAATAATTTGTTTCACAAATATACTATATATTTTCTTAAGTTTAATAATGTAGATAATGCCTACAGTTAAAATACCTACATAAGGTAGTTAAATTAGATTTAAATTCTTAATCTTACATTAGTTTAAGATCTCTGCTTTACAGATAATTACAATTTATAGTTTTCTAATTTAAAAATATTTTTATCTTTACTTTTGAAATTGTGTCTTCCTTCTTGTTTGTTTATTTGACACAATAAAGTGTAATTTACATATGACACAAGGAATTAAAAAATTTTATAAATAAAATTTTTTTAAAATAAATTTTAATTCTAAGTAATTTCTTTGTTACAGGTTTTTACCTTGCCTAGTTTGAAGCCATTTTGCAAATTTAAACTGACCGCTCACGAGGGAGCTCGTGTTCGAAAAGTTGGAATTGCTAATTTCAGGAGTAAAAGTGGTAAGTTTATATTTTGAAGTAGATATTAAGAATAGTATTTGCTGACACCAAAAATTAATTAAATTTGTGAAACTTTAATATATTGTTTACTTTATTTTATTAATATTACGCTTATAAGATTGCAATAATTTCAAAATATTATCAATAAAATATATTTTTTATCATTATAAATGGTTTATTTTTATTTCAGATGAAAACTATTGTGAATATTGTCTCACGTGTCTTACCAATCAAGGCAGCTTAAGTATTTATAGTATTCCTGAACTTAGAAGGCAGCTCGTACAACTGTGCCTTAAACGTGAAGATATAAAGTATGTACATTTCTTTTATATATTTTATTGATTTAGAACAGTGATTCTCAACACACTTCAAATACTCATACATAAGCGACATCAAACAAGTAGTTCAATCGGTTCTACCTTCCTAGGGCGCATTTGGAAATTGTAACCAGTGTTACTGGTAGTTACCAAAAATTAATTAAATTTGTGAAACTTTAATGTATTGTTTACTTTATTTTATTAATATTACTCTTATGAGATTGCAATAATTTCAAAATATTATCAATAAAATATATTTTTTGTCATTATAAATGGTTTATTTTTATTGTTACCAGTAACACTGCCTGTAGTTACCAAGGCATTTAGAAAATGTGACTAAGTAACTAACCATGTTTAAAAATCACTGTTATGACATCACTGGTTGTCCTGCGGTACTTACCAAAGTAATCGTGTGCCGCCAAATTTTTAAATTATTAAAGTTGATTAAAAAAGGTTGAGAATCACTGGTTTAGAATATGACTGATTTTACATTAAATGTAACTAATTTGCAAGAAATACTAATGAATATTAATTTAAAGTTATGATTATGTAATATAAATCATGTTTTAAAACATTTTATATTGGTACCATATTTAAATTTTCTTTAAGTTTCATTGACATTAATAACACAATATTGTACATATTAGTTATTTTTATATTCTTTTTTCATGAACGATTACTTCATATTTTAATTCCAAGTATGCCAGGATAATGTTTAATACTATTATTCATTTAATGGCCAATGTTTGTATGAAAAATTAGTTATAAACTAGTATTGTAAAAAATAATTTCTTTATTACAAAAAATTCGTGTATTTATTGCTGAAATCATTTATGATAGCTTAATAATATATTTACCAGTAACATTGAAAGTGTCTCTGACATAATTTGTGTAATGCATACCATTGAGTATTTTGTACCAAAACTTAATATGATATTAGCATCATAAACAGTTTGGAAATGTTGTAAGATTTATAAAATTTCAATAAATTTGTCACACATCTAATTTTTAATTACAAATATTTTTGTAATACATATGAAAATCACATAACTTTACTTAAGATATAAATTAAAAACTTATTTTAATTCTTAATTATTATTATTATTATTTTTTTTTTTATAATAGTGGAATTTCAAGTCTGGTATTTTCAAAGACTGGTCAAGGCTTTTATTTGCATTCACCATGTGAATTTGAAAGATTTTCTCTGTCTGCAAGCAATATTACTCAAGTTTTGTGTAGCATAGAACTTCCTGAAGGATGCCGTCCAATAATTGAAACAAAAGAAGAAGTAAAAGAGGAACCAAAAGAAGAACAGGAGAATAAAGTTGATGAACCAAATGCAGAAGTAATAGTTAATGAAACTGCTGAAGTGACTGAAATAGCAGAAACTACTGAGGATGTACCTGCAGCTGATTCTACTGGGTAAGGTTTAACTAATTTTTTTTAAATCATTGTATTTCTCTCACTGTTTCTAAAAGATATGCAATTTAAATAGTAAATCAGGATATCAATCACAATGTATTAGCAATTAAACATGTTAACAGTTTTAATATTACTGTGACTATCTGTATTGTTTCTTTCATAACTGAATGTTACCTAATAACAATAATAAATATTTTTGATTTTTATTTTTCCAAAATTTAATGTCTTATTCTATTCCATTATTATTACGTTGTTTAATAAAAAGTTTATATTTTAAACTTTGTTTTTATTTAATAATATCAAATGATTCTTATTGATTAGCCAATTAAAACAGTATAATAAACCAAATTATAAGAATCTTATAAAATTAAAAAGAATTGAGAAATAAATATATGTAAAAGAGTCAATAATTTTAATGATAAAAAAAAATTAATTCTTATTTTAATTTTTAAATGAATTAATTGTTTTGTCTACATTATGTATTTGTGAATTGAAATAAAAGCAATAGATTTTTTAAAAAAGAACCAGTTTGAACCATTAAATTTTATTTTATATGCTTACTATAATTGAGTCCTCTCAAATATATCAATGTATGAAGTTGTTAGTTTAATTTGCAAATTGTGTTTATTGATTAATTTTTTATCACTTGAAAAAGTAGTGTAATATTTATTTCAACAAATTGTTATGAGCATATTTCTTCTTAATTATGTTCACTGTTTCCATTAGGAGAGAGAAAAAAATTGCAGAATGAGGGACTTTTTCACATAATATTTTAAGTACATATCAAATAGCTAATTTCAGATAATTTTTTTTCTTCAGTAAGGTAAACAAGAGAAAGAACATGTGAACACAATGTATTCAGTGCATCTATCAATAGAATTATTCTGAATAACATGCTATGTCCATTCACCATCCTGGAAACACTAAATTTTTTACAATGAATTTTGTTTTTTTTTACTTGTATTTCACATTGCCATAAATTTTTTATGGATATCTTTCTTCACTTGCTATGATTTTTTTTTACTTCTTTGTCATTCTAGACATTTTGAATTTAGAGGCTAAAAGGAAGAAAGTTTTTATAAATACGTTATTACATGCAAATTAACTGTCACAATCACTTTTATACTTTTACTTATAGTTTTGTTTTCACTTTAGATAGATTGTTCAAATGTGTATATTTATTTAATTTGTTTATAATAAAGTCCTTCAGCAAATATAAAAAGTTCTTACATTCAATAGGAATCATATTAACTTTTTAGTTAGCACTATAACAAGTACATATTATTCATGTAAATACCAGTCAATATAAACTTTCCTCATCATTATATTGCTTCTGTTGAAAACATCTGTGATCATCATTTATGAATATGTAACATTATATTATTGATACTGATGATTTTTGTAAGTTTCTCTTTGAAAAATTTAAATACTGATACCTCAAAGAAAAAACTGAAAACATCATGAGACTAAAAATAATTATGTTGAAGAAATTCACAATTTGACTTTTGTTTGTATCACATAATATGTTATATTATTATAAAATATCTATCAAATTTATAAATATCAAAAGGAAAAATTAAATCAAAATCTTAAAAATTTAAATAATTACAAATATCTTCATTAAAAATATATGGAATTGTAAATTAGTAATCAAATTAATTTAATTCTAGTTGTAGAATTAAATTAATTTGGTTAATAAAACAATAATTGTAATTCAGAAAAAATTAAACTATAATTCATTCTTTGTCATTTGTTGTTCATAATTTTGAAATAAATTCCATAAATTGAAAACTAGTTGCATTGCAAATAGCTTAAAAATAGTATCTAAATGTAAGGGAAGAAAATTAGTCGTTTTGTATGTAAGCATTTATTTATGTAATATGTATCTTAAGAATATTAATAAAATAAAACACAGTAGTGTGTAGCATACACATGTGCATTAGAAAGCATTGATAATGTGCAAAAACAAAATAAACTATGAGATTTGTAAGTTTAGTAAAACGTTTACCATAACTGTAAAAAAAAAACATGTAATTAAAATATTCTTAATATTATATTAACAAGAAAAAAATCTTCATTTTAGACACAGCCATTATCAAAATATATTTCAATGTGTAAATGATAGTGTGCTAACCTTTAGTTTGTAATTCTACAATAATCTAAAAGATTATCTTCAAAATGATGTGGTAACTCTAGACTTTAATATGTTCTACAAATATTATGATCTGTTAAGATTCTTCCAAATCTTAGTCCCTATAAAACAGTAAAATTTTTCATTTTTAACATTAGAGTAGATATTGTCTTACAACAAGTCTTACCTGGCTTTAACGATGATGTGAATTGGTGGTCAGGCGCCTCGAACAACAAGTCTTACCTGGCTTTAATGATGATGTGAATTGGTGGTCAGGCACCTCGAACAACAAGTCTTACCTGGCTTTAACGATGATGTGAATTAGAGTAGATATTTTGTTTTGTTGCATGAGTGATTATATAGATTATAATTTTTTGTAATACATTTTAAAATTTTACAATTTTTAGTAACGAATTTAACATTTATTCAAGTAAAACTGAACACTATACTTTATGAAAGTTTATGATGACAGACATCAAGATTTTTTAAATATATACTGAAATTTATCAACAAACAAAATCTAAATTTTGTTTTTCCTTTCCTGATATTTTGAAAAAATTATTGTACAAATTTATTTCAGATTATCATTGCAAATCTGTCTCTCATATTTACTGTATTTCCTAACATTAAAAAAAATTATTTCAACAGATTAAAAATAAAGAAATTAAGAGCGTGTATTATTATTTATTCTACTAGAATTTGGCTCTCAGTTGTTGAAGTAGATGATCAGAGATGTTTAAAACTGTATAAAACAAAAACATGGTAATTTGAACTGCTGTTGAAAAGATTGTATTTATATTATCTCTTGATCAAACAGGATCAATAAAGGAATTTGGCTAAATTACATATATTATCCACAAACCTATCAGTAAAACTTTGTCTCTGTCTTCTATGTCCCTCTAACATTGTGTGATTAAGTGGATGAAACCACTTTACACTTATAATTGATCCCAGGTTCATGCCTGATCAATAGACTGGCCAATGGAATTTACCAGATTTTCTTCACTTGTGTAACACCTAAATAGGGTCCAGTTTCCCATAGAAGATCCTCTTGGAAAGCTCACTGACATATTACCAGTGTTGCTTTGCCTTGTTTCATCAGTCTATCTCAATCCCTGTAATATATTATTATTTTGCATGTGATATAATGCATTTTTATGCATTGTTATCAGAATTTAATTGCTGGTTTTAGCAATATATGTAGTCATCAGGTTACATTGCTAAAAAAAACTACAACAAAAATCAGACATTATTCAAGGATGCAAATTAATTATAATTTAATATAACTATTTAGTCATATTTATAACTTACTTTACTTACAAACAAGTTTATAATTATATCATTAATCTCCTAACCACTATTTATGAACAAATAAAAATAAATTTTAAGTAAAAACAAATTAATAGTTAAGAGAAATTTTAAAAAACTTAACATTAGATTTAATGCAAGAATCTATATTTCTGCCTTACATTGTGATTTCAATGTGGGAATAAGTTATCCTGACCAATTAATAAACTTGAGCCTGTTTTTACTCTGTAGTATGAAGTTCAAATGATTAAGTAATTTAAGCATATGTTGTAAGTACAGATATAGGAATGAAACAATATATTCACTTACGCATTTCCATTTGAATTATATATCAGGAAAAATTGAAATGACAAAATATAGTAAAATCTCCATAAGGCAATAACTTTTCATTTCAAAGAGAGATGATTTTTCTGTTCCTCTACAAAAACCATTTTAAGAATGAGATTTGGTCACCTGCTTATCCTCACTTATACAAATACTTCTCTCTTATTTACAATAGGATTGGAAAAATTACATTTTTAAAAACAGATAAGAGTAATTGTTAATTGTTGCCTAGCCAACTGCACTGTAAGTATTAATACCTTACAACACAGTAGAAAATCCCAAAACTGATAAATTGAAAGTGATTACAGATAGCCAAAAGGTTAAGGTACTGTGCATACCAGCCTACTGCTTTATGGGACCTAGGAAGAATCTAGGTGGATTGAAAAACCCCAGGAATTTTTCAGTGGTCCATCCCAAGTATGTCAGGTCTACTGTCCTTCATTACCAAGCTGCCCCATTGTGGGCCTGATAAAAGTCCTCTTAGTGACCATAGGATGGAAGGAGTCCAAAAACAGTGATTGCCAAACGATCGCCTAAATATCGGGCTATAATATGGCTAATTAAATAGTAAATTAATTAAATATTTAGGCGATCGTTTGGTGATGTATTTACTACTCGGGCTATGAGTTGTTGATATTTAAAAGTGATTGCAGTTGGAGAGTTCCTTTGATCAACTGATTGTTGAGTTTAATTTTAAATAAAATGTATATGTTTAATTTTGTTTGTAAAATTTATTCTTTTTTAGAGATGCTCTCATCATAGAGGTCATTTCCATTAGATGTTTTACATATAGTAAAATCTCCAGTATAATTTTGCACCACCTTGAAATGGCTGTTTTTATGTAATTAATCAATTAGGATGATATTTGGTGTAAGTCGTTAGAAGACAATGCTAAATAATTATTTTAAGTCTATCTACTCTAAATAATTCAAAAGATTTTTTAAAAAGTTATACAGTATTCCATCTCAAATATTAACTATTTATAAATAGTTAATATTTGTCCTGAATGTTTAATTATGAGAAATAAATGAAAACAATAATTTTTTTAATAAAGTTTTAATTTTATTTGTTTATATATTACTTTTGTTTATTATGTTGAAAATATTTTTAAATAAAATAAAATATATAGCATTAAAAAATTTTTATTAATAGAGAGAAAACACAAACTTCTAATGATACTGCTGAAGAGGAACATCAACCAGTTAAACAAGATGGGAATATTTCTAATATTTCACAAGATGAGGAGAGGAGAGACCTTGATATTACTATAGATAGTGTTAGGGATCATATAGGGTATTTTACTCTTTTTCTATATTTTATATCTTAATATATAAATGGAAGATAAATATATGAATAATCTCTCTTATCTTTCAGGACAACAAATTCAGATGAGTCCACTACAGTCGTTGAAACTAGAGAAGAATCAAAGGTTGTGAGAACACAAGAAACAGTTAGGAAAGTAACTTCCACAACTGTTACTAGGGAAACAATAGTGAATTCAACAGAAGAAAGTATGTATTATTTATTAATTCAATTATTTAAATATTTTAATTATGATTTATATAAAGCATATCAACCAGTTTTAAATTTACAATTTTATTTATTCATTTTAACAAAAATACTAAATATATTATGATAGTTTGTATATTGATGCAAGTGTTTCAATTTTTTCTGTGTTATAAAAGAAGTAATATTAATTATAAAACTGTTCAGTAAGTATTTTTTAATTCAAATCTTTTCTTGGTTATTTTACTAAAGATTTTAATAACAATTATTCTGCTTAAATATTTAATTATATAATCTGAAATAATATATTTTATATATAAGAGAATTTTTAAATATTAAAATTGTATTACTATTTTATACACTATTTTCTATTTCAGCTTTTTAGTAATAAAAGCAATTTTGTGTAATATTAATGTAGTTTACAATTTTATCTTTAACTTTGTAAAATATTATTGGCATCTCTCATTTAAGACTTTTTTTTTTATTTAATGTTTTTGAAATATGACATTTTAAGTTAGATTAGTTTACTTAATGATATATTAATTTAAATGTAAAATGATGATAAAAGTATTTTTTAATATCACCCTTTGATTGTTTAATAATGGAAATAACAAAAACACCTTACTTATAGAAGTTTATATCTGAGAAATGAATGAAACTTAGCACCATATTTAAATAAAAAGAAAACTTGCATTGCTTGTTAATGTAGTCAAAAATAAGGTTTTATTTGGGAATATTTTTGGTATAATTTTCAGCCACCTTCAGGTAACTACACCCAACTGAAGTCAAGTTGAATGTTATTAGGTGAAGCTTGCCAAAAACATTTTTAATAAATTCTTATTTTTGGCTTCTTTAATAAACAGTTTGAATTTTATTTTTATTTATTTCTGTATGAATAAAGAATTAGCTAGTATTTGAGGTTAGTTTATAGTCCAGTGGCAGTGTAGTGCTTTGACAGATGTGTTCTGTGAAATTCACTGTACTATTGCTCTACTAATTATCAAACTACCAATGATGCTTGGTGCTGCATTATTCCACCACTACCTATTCTGTTCGGCTAAATCTGTTGCAAAGATTTTTCATTTTGCCATTGTCAATATTAAAGTATCAGTTAATTTAATTTTTAAAAAAAATTAGTTAAAATAGTTACTTTATTGTTTGATACTAAAAAGACTTGATCTTTACTACTGTTTGCTTCACTTAGATCTGTTTCCTAATTTATTTGCTTTTTTATGTTGTTTATAATAAAATCTTAGATTGAAGACTTATTAATTTGGGACAAAAAATTCTTTTAAGTATCCATTCAATTGAAGCATTCCTTTCTTTCTGGTTTGCATTTAAAACTGTAGACTAGCAATGCAGTTCCAAAGTTAAACGATGCTCAGTTTTGACTATAAACCACCACCACTACTTTCCGACAAGTTATGTGCTGGCAACGGCTAGCGAACGAGCTTGAAAATCCACATTGCCATTGAACTATAAACCAGCCTTTAGTATCAAATTATTACATTATTTAAAATTTAAATTAATATCAATATTATATCAGTTTCGGGAATATACAAAACTATACATAATAATCTGATTTAAAAAAGCAATAAATTTAGTTTAAATCACATAATGAGTTTAATAAACTCTTAATGTAACAGCTATTAAAATTATTTTTTAAGCATTTGAAAATATTTCTTAAGAAAGCAGTTTGCTTTCATGCAAAATTATTGTATGATATAACAAGGTTTAAATAACACTTCTGGACTGTTTTCTTGTTAATTATTCATTTTACAAAAGATTAGTTTTTGTCATAAAAAATGATGACTTTTTAAATATTGAAACAGTAACAAGAACAATTCACTCAGAGTATTTAATAAAAAAGTTTTATTTTATGAAATGTTTTGTACATTATATATTTTTCTCAAGTATAAACTTTATATTGAAAAAAACATAAAATAGGTAAATCAGTTTTTCCTTTGTAAAAATTGAATACAAATAAAGAGTACCATATTTTAAGTAAAATATTACATGCACATTTACAAGTATCTGGCCTAAATGGAATTATACAGTACAGTAGAGCCTCAAACTCGGCACTCGATAACCCGGCAGTCTGGATAACTCGGCCACACCTCCGCAGGGCAAAAAAATCCTTAGTTAATTAATTTTCATTATAGACAGCTTTATGCCTCATAAAGTATTTTTCTGAGGTCTGTCTTATCAGGTAAATTACTGTACACAGTGTATTCATTAATTTTCATTTTCATGTAGTAAAGGCTCTATGCCTTCATAAAGGACGTACTTTTCCTTTGTTTAAGGGTATTTGGGCAGTTTATTCTCTGTT